CACAAAAAAATAAACTCTTGACTACCATACAGAAGCAAACAATTATGACATTTTTAGATATAGGAAAATTTAAAATGTAGAAAAATATTTATTGACCAACAGCAGTGGGATTTTATTAAATGAGGAATAAGAAGCCCTACTCATATAAGATAGAACACATAACCACACTGCAATTTAAAACTTCTGTTCATTAAAAGCCATCACAGAGAAAGAGATAGACACAAACAGGAAAAGGGTATTTGCAACACATATGACAAAACTATCTATAACATAGAATAAAATAAGCGCTCTTTAAAAGGAAAAGAAAAAGTAAAGTAGCCCAGTAGAAAAAATAGAGAAAGATGGTAGCCATTTTGCAGATGAGGTAACTAATGGTAAATAAATGCAGGAAAAGTTATAAACCTTATGAGAAACTGAGGAAATGCAAATTAAGATCACAATGAGATATAATTTATACCAGCAACTGGGTAAAAATTTACAGTCTGTAAATACTAAATATTAGCAAGGATATCAACAGCTACCGCTGGAGGTATAGAGCATCCAACTACTTTGGAAAATAATTAGGCATTGCCATGCCTATGTGAACAGTTTTACTCTGTATGCAGCCCTGCAATTTCATTCATCTGTATACACTTTAAAAAATTCTTGCACACATGTACTAGAACTTTCTAAGAATGTCCATAAAAGAATCGGATATATTAATAACAAGCAGAAAGCTCAAATGGCCAGAGAAGAATGGATAAAAATAAATCATGGACCTTTTCTGCCTATTTCACATTATCAATTATACATTTTGATTCTTATTTACACTTTTAGTTTCTAGGTAGAAAAGGTCTAGAAAAGGGGAAATGGGAGGGGTAGGGAAAGGAAAGAAGGGAAAGGAAAAAAATACGAGAAAAGGAAAAAAGTGGAAACAAAGTCTTTGTAAAGAGGGAAGGGTGGAGGGGTTAAAAGGAGGGCAGAGGAATGAGGAAAAAATAAGAGCCAAGATATAACATGTAAAGGTACACTTTCCCAGTGATGAATGTAACTGTACTGTATACCTAAAATGTACCGATAAACTTAATGAAAAAATAAATAAATTATGGAAGGAAAAGCTTTATGAAGAAAAAAGAAAAAAAATTATGGTATCTTCATGCAATAGCAACGGTATTACACAATAGTGACAATAAACTAAAATTACATGAAAAAAGTATACTTGGAAAATAGCAAGTTTCAGAAAATGATATGCAACATTATAACAATCTTATAATGTTTGTAAATATGCAAAACTAAACACTTTAATATTTATGGATGTATCCAAATCTAATAAAAATATTTAGAAAGCAAGAGAATGGTAAACAAAAAAATCCAAGACAATAGAAAGAACACTTGGGTGGCTTTGAGACTAACGGTAATGTTCTTATGTTTGCTTCATGATTTACATATTTTTATATATTATTTGATATGAATCAAATGTCACATGATGAATATTCTAATGGGGATTGTTACTTATAGAATTAAATTTCTGCCAAGAAATACATTGTGGCGAAGGACAGAAAGTCTGAGATAAACTCTCTGGCCTCTAATCTGCCCTTCCCAACTAAGAGCAACATTACCCTGGGGAACTTGGTGAGGTGTCTTGTGCCTCAGCGTTTGCGTCTGTGAAAGGGGAATGAGAGAGAACCAATGGGGTTACTGCGGTAATTAAATGCATTCATAGACGTGTGGCAGTTAGCAGAGTTCCGTAACATGGCACCCTGCTCGCATCTTTGCCTCTGTGGGTCAGATGCATAACTGCGCTTAGTTTCAGTTTATTTGCAAAACGGGCTAGTTGGATTATAGAGAAACAATATACATGTTGCAAATGACGTGTAAAGCACAGTCAATAGTCAGTAGGCAAAATTTAATTGTAAAAAATTGATTTAATCCCATGGATTTCCTATATTTGGTTTTGAAATGAAAGAACTAGTTCCATGGTAAAGAAATAAAGATGGTAGCCCTTGAAGTGATTGATGTAGTGAGAAAAGGCATTCTTTTAAGAGTAGACTAGCTGGGCCTGGTGATGCACAGCTATAATCCCAGGACTCTGGGTGGTTGAGACAGGAGGATTTCAAGTTTTAGATCAGCTTGGGCAACTTAGTGAATTAGTGAGAGCCTGTCTCATATAGATAGATAGATAGATAGATAGATAGACAGACAGACGGAGAGAAAGAAAGAAAGAAAGGAATGTGGCTCAGTGTGGAGGCCCTGGGTTGAAGAGTAGTTAGATATGGCATATACTAGATTTTTTATAGCATCCCTGTTGAGATTTTGCATGCAACCCTGTTATGGTAGCTTTCTTAATATTGTATGAAATCTTATAGTGAAATTTTTGAAAATGTGGGAAAATCTGTAAATCTACACACTTAGAAACGAGCATGCTTCTTAGTTGATTGTGTGTTCTCCTAGCTCTCTTTCTGCACTTTAACCCATGAGATTGAATAAATAAGTGCGAAGGAGCAGGCAATGAGAGACAAACTGTAGGCGCCACATGCCCACGAGGGTGAAGCCTCATCCCTTGCACAGGGATCCAGTGGCAGTTTACCCACCTGTTCTGGCTGCCTCTGTCCAGCCCTGCACGGGAGGGGATCCAGGCCCAGGTGTGGCCAGGCTGTGAGGCAGGAACTTGGGACACTCTGCCCAAGGACTCTTTCTTCTCGTTTTCTGATTAGGATAAAATGATTTAGGATCTGCTTCATGGAAATGGTAGTTGTTAGCTTGTTTTTAAGATAAATGTATACTTACTCTTGATAGACCCTCAATAACCACCACTTAGATTCCCAGCAGCTTTAGGAAGCTGTCAAGCTGAAGGCAGGCAGTGCCTTGTCTCGGTGTAGCCTTCCTTTTGTAGTCCAACCACAGAAGTCAGAGCCCCAGCTGCTCTGCTGCCTTTCTGCATATGGTGAAGCATTTGTCAATATTAAATTGAATTTGTGCTAAGAGCCAGTCCCTAAGAGTGAAAACACAAAGCTTGCTGAACTTTGCTTTGCCTGTGTGTTCAGTACAGACAGCATTAGCAAAGCCAATAAATTCAGCAACATTATCCTACCCAAATCTAGGTCAGCTCTGTTGATTAGAAATATTACAGGTTTAGGAACTGACCCTATTAAAACCCCCTTCAAATTTAACTATATCAGAACCTATTGCATCTCTGATACTCTTGAAATAGAAGTCCCCAAGCACCAGTCCAATGGGTCAATATTAAAGGTCATGATCAACAACAGACATTTATTGAGCGCCTATTGTGTGCAAGGCACTGTACTAGGTGTAGGGCTACAAAGACAAAGGAGAAACAGTCCTTGCCCTCAAGGAGCTTACAATCTAATTAGTCTAACAGGACGCGTACATAAGAAGACAAAGGACAATGCCAGGTAGCATATAATATTAGGGCACTGAGTAGAAATAAACAGGATTTCAGCCTTTTTTGCATTTGCTTTTCAATACCCTGAGTAGGTGAGGGCGAGGGAACTAGGATAGAGGGGATTACCTGTTTGGTTTCCATCCTAAGACTCTCTCACCTCTTTCCATTCCCAAGTGTCTCCAGGCACGTGCTAAAAGCCTGCAATGGGTCCACTCCTAGCCTCCCTGCCGGCCCTCCCCTAGCCTCGGGTCACAGTCCCCTGCATGAAGCCCCATAGGGTGGCCCACATCCCGGTTTCTCCAGGGCTGCCCTGGGTTTAGAATGGAAAGTCTGCATGGAGGAACTCCCTTCTCTTCCCTCCTCCCCGGCCCCACCAGGAGGGCCTTGTCCTGTGGCCACCATGGACTCTTCCCACCCACTGGGGCCATTGCTCGGACGGGCTCTACCCCACCTGCCCCCAGATAGGTCTCTAGTTTTAAAACATACCAGGAAGACTCGGACAGCCCCAAAGACTGCTGGTTTGAGAGCACACTGAAGACAGAAGAATGAAGTCAGGAGAGAATGATATCAAAGAGACAGAATGAGGCTCAGGAGGGAAACGATGAAGATGGGAGAAATGACTGGGTTAGGTATGAGCCATGCAGAGACAGAAGAGGACCCCAGACCTTCTCTTGGAGTAGGTTGATGCAACAACTGAAATCATCACCCCGGTGGAACCCAGGGCATTTTCTGAAATAAGGTCACTCTTACACCAGGGCAAGTATCTGGGCAGGCCCTAGATAAATGTATATGCATTGAAATAGCAGTCTTAAACTTAACAGAATTTCAACTTTTTCCTTCCACTTTTGCTTAACGTTCATTAACTTCTAAATCCTAATTTTAGTTTTTGAAGGAAGTGTTTATTTCAAAAACAAGAAAATTCCCCTGCATTGCAATGAAATTCAGAAAGATCCATAAAGGAGAAAACTTTGGGGAAGGAGAGTTCATCTGATGAGAGGTGTCCTTTGGAATCCAGTATTAACCTAAAGATTCCAACAGGCTGCACAGATTTCTCTTTTACGTGTAGTACTTTGTGTTAAGTTGTTAAAAGGAAACATTGAACTCTAAAAGCCTAGGACCCTGGAGGTCAATTGTTCTGGTTTTACATCAAGCCCTCAGGAGTGCATTCCAGGGTTAGCGGAGCACAGGGACTTAGTTGCCAAACACCCATCAACAGTAATGGAAATCACACAGTAAGTCCCCACGCAGTGCACTGAATATTTACCTCCTAATGTTCTTTTAATGTAAGCTTTCTTGGGTGAATATTTACTGTAGAATATTAAATGTGAGATTCCTCTTTTATGGGCCATTTGAAGTGATTGATTTTGTTTGTGAATTTCTGTATCTTTGCCCGTAATGGCTATCTATTGTAATGGCCCCTGCCAAATGTTCTTGCACTGAAATAACAGAAGCCATGGGTCGGCCAGCTGTGGCATTGTATTCCTGTGGTCCTAAAAGCTGGGAGGAAGCTGATGACACAGCTAGGGAGAGAAGGAAAAGGTGTGTTACGGAATGAGTCTGACTTATGCTTCACATATACTGAAATCGCTCAGGTCTGCAAACATGGTTGGTAGTCATCTTTTATATCAGGGTTTATATTTAATGGTATTGAATGGCGTTAAGACTGATAGTCATGAAATGATAGTGGCAAGACAAGAATTCAATTGCCCACAACCAGGTCCATCAGCATAATCCATCAGGGTTCTAGGCATATTCTTTAATGCTGCAATAAAACCAGTACCTAAGCGATAATTTCTTACACGTATTTGTAGCATATTTAAAAAAATATGATCAAATTCTAGATACATTTCCCAGCAAAGCCAAGACTTTCAAAATTCTGTTGCTTTCCACTCTTAGTATTTCAGAGGGAGAAGTTACAAAAAGATGGGGCTATCCTAACAATTTTTTAAAAGAAAGACCTACTAAAGATACACAAATAGGTAAGGTGATATTGTTACATCTTTGTAATTATGCCTTTCCAAATTGCCATAAAAATATGCCTTGTCAAAGAGTCGACATCTGAGCAAAATGTGGCCTATAAATCAGTTGCATAAAAGTCATATACTTTCTATGTTCACAGAAACGTTGTGTGTTCAGAGTCCATGCTGCAAAGAGATCATGTTGGAGTAAAATTCATAGTCCCTTTAAAAACTATGACAAAATTTAAAAAACGAATTCCATTATGCTTTGGAAAGCTACTTCAACATTTTACTGTGTTTAACAGCTCAAGCCACACCACAATAATACCAACTTTGTCTTTGCTGTGTGAATACTTGGACTGTTTGTGTTTCAACAACAGTAGTCCAGATAATTAATAGTACTAGTCAGTGAGAGAAAATGGAATCTTCTTACTAAGAAGAGGGAAAAGAACAGGTAAGGGAGAGACCTTAAATCACAAATTGAGTCATGAGAGTCTCCATACATAGTATTTGCCGGCATCTTCAAATTTTGCATTACAGAACTAATGCCTCCAAAGCAATGTGTAAAAAAACCACTAGTGTATTCTCAAAAGACTGTTTTTGAACAATATTACTTATATTTAAATGAAAATCTATCATATTAATTGATCTTGCTTTGTATAAATTGAGTCCTTCATATTCTTTCAGACCAAGGAATGGTAGTGACTGTAATTTAAGATTTGCAGTGAGTCTGAATAGTGCATTAAGATAATGAGTTGTGTGATAGGGAATCTTTTCCTGTTCTTTTCTCCTCACAGAAGGTCAATTCCTTGCACTTGCAGTCAGGAAACTCTTCAGAAGTGTGTGTGTGTGTGTGCGCGCGCGCGTGCGTGCGTTTGTGTTGCTTCCAGAGAAATGGGATAGATTTAGGCAATGGGGATCCATCCAGGAGGAAGTGCTCTAACCACACACACAGAGATAAGTCGTACTGGAATATAAAATGCCTGCAGAACACAGTTCTTGGTAAAGATGGAACCCTATCACTTGAAATATAAACAGTCTTCAAACAAGTCTATGAGGACCCATAGAGTTTCAGAAGAGGAACAAAACCTAAGAGATCTTTCAGTACAATGAGATCATTCTAAAAAAGAGGAAACTAGGCCTTAAGAGAAGTTACTCATATCAGTTGTTACTAAAGAAAACTATCTTTAAAGTTTCTTGCTAGCATCTTTTTGTTTTAATAACACAGTTTTTGGTTTTCAATTTTGTTCTTTTGGAGCATGTCTGCTCATTAGAAAATGATATAGCTGTTCTTGCTATGAAAGAGCAATTTTCCCAAAGCCTAGGGGTCCAAAACACACGTTAAACAACATTTTCAAGTCAAATACCAACAGCATGCTGACAGTGATCACTGAGGACACAGTAACTCATCGACCCAATTCTAGGCCATTTCCAACCATCATTGAAGATTCGAGTTAGGAAGAATAAGTTACCACGTAATTGTACTCATAAAAATACTGGCCTACAGTGCACTAAAAAACTCTGAATAAATAAATATCGAACATTTGCCTTATGAAAGTCAGTCAGTGGAGATGTGCTCTTCGAAAACCATGTCCGTACTTTCAGGCTGCTTTTTACAAATCACACAAACAGTCTGACAAATGGCAAAGGTTATAGATTGGGTTAGAATACAACTTGATAGAAAAATGTCTTCTGACATGGTGTTTCTATAAAGGAATGCAACCAGTGTTGTTGAGTTGCTCGTTCGGGTTTCAAAGGCAATACTTAAAGAGATCCAAAATGCTTTCAGCCACAGCAGCATCGCTGAAATGAGCATTCAGTTTCCAATGTGGCTCCTTTCAAAGGGGCAACACTCATCAGACCGGTACCCGGTCTAGGGTTAGGATCTTGTGTACTCGTTCCTCAGAACACAGGTTTATTCTCCAGATGATTCACAGCAGGTGATTCTGGTTTCCAGTCTGGTTGAAAAAAATGAATATTGAATGTCCGTGCCCAGTTCTTAAATACTCGCTTCTCTGTGATGAACCGGTGATGGCTGCCCTTCCGTCCCCGCTCATGGGACAGGTACATTGTACATTCATCAGGTCCAAAAGGTTCATAATAATGATAAGGTACTGAAAGGTGATTCGGATCCCTGCAGGAAAAAAATGAGATAACCGATTAAAGCCAAATTTTTTTTGGTGACCCATTCAGACAAGATGTTACCTTTAATCAGCTGCTAAGCACAAATCTTATTTTCTAGTCAAATGAATTTTGCCAAATGGTTTTTCTGATGTGTATTCAGTAAGCAGATGAGGTGGTTTTGAGATGTGAAATAAATGCAGTGATCAACATTATCAAACAGAAATTAAAAATCTTCTTAGGACATTCAGTCTTCCAAGATCAAGGCACTACATATTTGTAGTCACAATTACACTGTTTCCACTCTTATTCCCATACAAACAATTTAGTACAAATAGCTACAGAGATATTTATGAAACAAAAGCAGATTATTTTACAGAGAACCATCTCAAACCCTCCACAGACTTCTAGTCATAGCGAGAGCACAGCCATTGTAGGGTCACTAAGAACTAATCTCAAACTGGTCTCCATCCTAGACCAACCATCCCACCTGTCTTTTGAAGAGTAGGTGACAAAATCTAGGTTTCCCAGCAGACAAACTTTCCTAGCTTGAGCTACACTCACCAACTGGGACTGTTGCAGGGACTATGGAGACGAAAGACCCACACAGCCCAGCTTCTTTCTTAGCTCAAGGATCTGGGGTCCCCTCCAGGCAGGAGCCTGGTTTCCAAAGATAGTCAACCTGCTAGCCACCTATTCGTTTTCTTCAGAGGAATCAATACACAAATGGCTTTTAGAGTAGCAACTTTACTGGGGTCAGGGATCGAAGTCTTTTATCAAGAGAGGTGTCAAGTTTGTGGTTCTGACAACAATAAACCTTTGAGCAGCTTCTTCTCTTAGGTTAAAGTTCTTCCAGGAAGAGAGATTTATTTTTGTCATGTAGCATCTAAACATCCTTCATCCTGGCGTGGCTGCTGTGCTGAGTTAATCTCTTGATCTCTAATTTGCTTGTGTCCAAAGGGTATGTTGTCCAGTGAAGCTCTGGCTCCTGCCCTGTGTAGTTGTGACAGATTTCACTGATTTGCTTACCCTAGAAATTGGAATTCCTTAAAATTTGAATAGAAGATGTTTTTAATACAGAAAATGCATGTGTGGGTGGGTGGGGGGTGGGATTTAGACTGGAACTGACCACTATGGAGAGAAAAATAAACAAAAAAGGTGTAGAAACCTGTGAGGGAAACCTCTGCAAGTTTACATGGTGCAATTGCAGAACCATGCCATAGCGTCATGGTATCCTCAGGGTTAAGCTTTTATTCTATCGAAAATCAGGTTTTAAATCTGACTCATCTAAGTTTTGGACGTCTTATTGGCATCCATCTGGCTAAAGAAACAATTAGGCTTCTAAAAGTATCCTGACATTGATTTGGCACCCAGGAATAGAGGGTAATTGGAGCCCAGCTAAGGGATGCTATGGGATCAATTTCCTTGCTTGGAAGACCATCTCTCTGAATGAAAACTTATCTGACTCCACACTGATCACCTAGCAAGAGAATTAAATTCCGTATTTAGGTATTTTGATTCCAAAGGTACCCAAATGGGCCTCTTGTGTAAGACAGAGTTGTTCCCATGTTTTCAGCCTCTGTCCAAGCAGCAAAGAAGAGCTCTGTGTGACCTGGGAACGCAGCGCTGCTCCCAGGGCTGTGAGCCTGCTCTCAGCTGGATTCCACCTCTCCCTGTAGAAAGTCCTTCCCGGTTTACAGTTAGAATGCATCAGGTCTCCTCTCAGACCCGACTTCCTAAAGGCTGCCATAGCTCTCTTCCTCTGCCTGACTCCAGTGAAAACAACCAAAACCTTCAGCAGATTTTCCATGCACAGAGGCTACGGGAAAAGGAAAGGTTCAGGTGCTCAAGTTTCTATCCGCAGTCAAGTAAAGTTGGAGGAGAGGAGGGGACTGTGGGGGACAGGGAGGAGATGTCACAGAGCCAGCTCCCGGTGGCTGCAGACTGCTCTGTGCCCTGCAAAGGCCTCTGTGGGGATGAGTCCTCCAGTGCAGTGTGAAGAAGGGTTCTTCTCTGGCATTGTAGGGGAAGCAGAGGCAGAGTGAAGGAACCAACATTTAGTGTACTTGGACAGATTTAAAGAAATACTATTGCTGGTGAGTGTGCTGCTTGCATAGACTTTGGTTTAAATTAGGTTTCAGGCACAACTATTTATTTATTTATGGTACTGGGGATTGAACTCAGGACCTTGGGCTTGCGAGTCAGGTGGCGGCACCACTGAGCTAAACCCCTGGCCCCACAACATTTTTTTAAACCCAGATTGTTTGACCACTGAGCTACCTCCCGTCTCTTTCCCTCGGTTTCTTTTCTCTTTCTCTTTATTTTTCCTTCCTTCCTTCCTTCTTCCTTCTTTCTTTCTTTCCTTCTTTCTTTCAGCAGTACTGGGGATTGAACCCAAGGCCTCACACAAGCTAAGCAAATACTTTACCACTGAGCTAGAGCCCCAGCCCTTGTTCTTTATTTTGACACAAAGTCTTGCCAAGTTCCCCTGGGGCAGGCTGTGAACTTTCAGTCCTCCTCAGCCTCTGGAATGGCTGGGATTCCAGGTGTGTACCACCATGTGGCCAGCATGGTATATTTAAAAGTAGGCTTGGGCATCCAAATGAATAATTTTCAGCAGTGGATAAGACAACCCATAAAATGAAACAGATGTCCACAAGTCTGTGATGATTGGTCTGAGGACCAATTGAGGAGTAGTAGTAACTTCACAGTGGATAATTCCATCAGACATCACCTTAACCAATGACCCAGGTTAACATGGTCCATGATAAGACACTATGGCTGGGTGTGGTGGTGCAGGCCTGTAATCCCAGCACTTGGGAGGCAGAGGCAGGAGGATGGCCATGAGTTCTAGGCCAGCCTGGACTACATAGAGAGACCCTGTCTCAAAACAAACAAGTAAACAAATAAACAGGATACCATGTACCTCCTGATAGAAGGTATGGGAAGAACTCATCCCTTTTGTGAACTCCTTCCTGGGAATGAATGCATAACCACAATCTAATCGTGGGGAAAATACCAGACAAACTCGAAGTATGTCTACAAAACACCTGACCAGTACTCTTAAAAGGCATTAATCTTCAAGGAAAGATTTGAAGAGAGTAAAGAAAAAAAAGTGAGTGCAAGGGGATCCTGGAGTAGGTCTTGGAAGAGGTAAAGGATGTCAACAGAGAAACTGACAAAATCTCATAAATCCTCTTAGTTTAACAGATATTGATGTTAACTTGTTAGTTTTCATAATTGGACCATAGGCATACAAAATGTCAGCATTTGAGGAAGCTCAATAAAAGGTATATGGAGTCTCTGCACTATTTTCGCAACTTTTTAAAAAATCTAAAATTATTTAAAACCAAAAAGTAACATAAAAGTAATATATATTATATTATAATATTATAATTATTATGTTATATATTATAATATATAAATTATATATATATATTGTATTTAAAAAGAAGCTCCTTAGTAGGTTCTGAAGTGCAGCCCAGTTTCTGAAGGCTGGGGTTGGAAGCTCAGCTTCAGTGTGTGTTATAGGAGCTCCCTTCTGTCTCTGTCAGCCCTCTGGGGTAAGTCTGGCTGCTTCTGTGTGACAGGTGAGCACGGTACCCAGGTGGAGTCTGTGCCTGGCTTTGGGCACACAGCTTCACCCAGGGACCATCTATGGGGCTCTAGCTACCCATCCCAGCCCACAGAGCAGGGTCAGCATGCTACACATACTAATTCATTTAATCCCCACAATTCCCTTCTAAGAGACATACTACCGTTACTCCTGTTCTACAGATGAGAAACTCATGGCCAGAAAAACTGACATTTCAGGGCTGGGGATTTAGCTCAGTGGTTTCGCTGCCTGCTGCACAAGTGCAAGGACCCGAGTTCAATCCCTGTACCAACCTCCCCCTGCCCCAAACCCCCTGACGTTTCAGAGCCAAGATTTGGACCCCAAGCTGGTTGACCACAGATTCTTTACCCTTAAGAGAGAAGCTCTGTGTTTCGGAGAGAACTCCAGTTCCCAAGGTGGGGGTCTCTGTCCTAACAATACTCCAGGCTCTGCTGCGATGGGCAGCACCTGTTTGGGGCAGCTTGTCCTGGCTGCATTCATCCTGGTACCTCGCACCTTATGTGTGGTGCTTGCTCTGTGCACCTGGCCAGGGTGTTAAGCAGAGACCTGAGGCTCGTTTACAATTCTGCCACTAATATTAATGCACTAGGGATTTGCAATGTTCCACTGCGTATCTTGTAGGGCTGCACTGTACAACTAGGGGACATCTCATAATAGTAACACAAAGGTGGATATTTCCATTTCTAGATTCTGATGAGGTTCAGATGCTACCCCTAAATGTGGCACCTTTGCAGGTGAACAAACAGCAGAGGCAGGAGGTTCACTGTCACTTTTCCCTCGTTCTTCTCTGAAGCAGGTCATAAAAGAATTCTTAACCTTCCTCTAAAATAAATTATAAAATCTTCATCCCAGAAGTACCCTCCTATACTCAGGAAAGGAACATCCATATCCAGAGACACAGAGATGTCAAGAAGAATCTGAACCAACAGGCCTTGCTAAATCTGCTCCTCTCCTCCATTTATTATCATTAGATCAATCCCCATTGTCCAAAGGGGTTTGTCAGAGGAGACTGGATCTAGGGTGTGTGATATTGGGATTAAGTGTTTGATGGTGGAAGTAAGGGCGTGTGATACCTAAACTGGTTTAGCATAGTTATGGATTTGGATAATGGAAGCCCCACCCTGGTTGTGGATTGCACCAATCAGTTGGCTTGTAGACTGGGGAAGGATGGAAGGCAGGCTCATGGCTTTGCTGCCTACTGCCTGCTCTGCCATGGACTGTTTCTCCTCTGCTATGCCCCTCTGCCATGGAGCCAGCCAATGAGGGACTAAAACCCCTACAAACTGTGAGCTGAAATAAATTTTTCCTCCTTTAACTTGTGAGTATAAGGTATTTTGTCATAGCAATGAAAAGAGTAACTAAGACAAGTACTAGTTAGGTTGACCCTGCTAACTGGA